CCTCCCGGGGCGGGGTGGGGGGGGGGAGAAGGAGGGAGGAGAGAAGAGAAGACTCAATAGTAGATTGAATCAGGCAGGTGCAAGGGAAAAAACCAGGAACTTCTCACCTCTCCATAGCAACAACTGTGCTAGTACTGTGGCGTTTTCTAAAAGATTAGTTGCTGGTAGTGAGTTGTATTGAAAAGAATTCACAATAAAGCTTTTCAGAGGATCTGGGTCACTGGAATGTTCTTGTGAATCATCTGAAGAACAGAAGGCAGCCCCTTCAACAAACAAGTAAAAAGTGAGAGTGGTAGAGAAAAAATGGAAGAGGGATGGGTGGGTGAGGTGGGTGGAGGAGACAGCTTCCTTTGCCTTTTGTGTAACATGATCTGTCATTAGCATACACTCGCAGGATCCACATATTTATTTGTTCTTGTTCCTTGCATTCAAAATAATGTGCCAAGTCATCCCCTTTTCAGGCAATTATGCACCCAGGAGGGAAGCTCCTTAAATCAAAATGTATAGTTTCTGGCATCTACTGTCCACAAGGTAGGAGGCTGGTGCCAGTGATTGGATTGGAAGCACAGGAGCAGTCTGGCCACAGCCTTGCTACTTTATACTCTGGCTTATGAGGGTAGAGGGGGAAAGGGCATTTTTAAAAGCTTAAATGATCATAAATGTTGTAAGTACACCATTGTTTTACCTGCACTCATTTCAAGCATTGTTCGTGCCAGTAGATGGAGCATCTTTCGTATATGATCAGTAAACAATTAGATACATACCCCATAAATATCAAGGCTTACAATAGCAATCATGTATCTAGCTGCTACGGTTCACCACCACTTTTCCTTCTATTCCCTGGGCAACGGACAGAATGACTCGGTGATCAGCCTTGGCCCTTGACTTTGTCAGCACTCAATGCTCCTTCTAATGGGCCTTCACAAAGAGCAGGGGACAAGTTAATATTTCAGGCAACTGTAACTCATGTAGCTACCACTGATGCAGAACAAAAAAAAACCTGTCACATTTCAGATTCAGAATGGAATTTAGCACTGAAAAGCAACTGCTTTTACCTTTGCCTACTTGCTGTTGAAAAGTCTGAGAGGCAGCCATGTTAGTCTGTAACTTGAAATGGGTTGTGCCCGTGATACTCCATATATTTGTTAGTCTCTAAGGTGCCATAGGACTACTCATTACTTGCTGCTGGTTTGTGACCTTTTATTGTCTGCTTCAGTCAGCTCATTTTCTACTTGATGATCTGTAAGACTATATACTACCAGAACATTTCAATAGATGAGAACCTACCTTTATGACAAGACAGTTTTCCCATCACAATCCTGATTTCCACCATGTGGGTGCACTGACCTTGCTTTCTAAAAATCCTTTAAGGCTGGTTCCCAACATACCTAGTCACTCTGAAAACAGTGGAGTACATATTATGCCAGGGATGGGCAAAAGGGCCTCCGTGGGCCAGATGTGGCCCGCCAAGTGGGTTCATCTGGCCTGTGGAGGCCCTGCCACTCCTCCACCCCTAGGCCAATTAGGACCTGGGAGAGTGCACAAAGTTTCCTCCGCCCTTTTAAGTGCTGCACACTCCCAGCAGGGCAGGAGGAGGCTGTGTGTGCTCCCCCACCTCTAGGCCCTGTATTGGCCTGGGGGTGGGCAAGCACTGGAAATCTCTTCCCACAGCCAGGGGCATGGGTGATTAGTGGGAAAGGCTCCCCCATCCCCAGACCAATCATGGTCTGGGGGGTGGGGAAGCCCAAAGCATCCTGGCCATGTCCCTTCCAGTGCAGCCAAGGCCACTTCAATTTTTGAAGTGGCCCCTGACAAAAAATTATTGCCCTCCCTTGTACTACGCTGTGCCGTATGACGGACTAAAATTCTCATTTGTACTATAGCACGTGCTGCATTCATGTAATACATTTCTTACATAAAGAATCCATATTTTAGAGGTATAAACACAGAAGGGGAAAAATGAAGTAAGATTTTCATCCATATCCTAGCCTCCGAGCATTGATTCTTTAACCTTAATGATCAACGCGTAGTCCTGTAGCACTGTAGAGACTAACAAAAATATACCCGATCATGAGCTTTCATGGGTAAAACCCACTTCATCAGATGAGTGGAAGTGTAAATAACAGAACGTGGGTTTTTTTCCATTGAGAGCTATGTGAATAGATACAATATATGTATTATGATAGTGTACCTGTCAAATACAAATTGACATAAATTGCATTCTATGTAAACGCATATGAAAAGTATAGTCCTTGGAAAATCATTACTGGCCCGGTGTTCCACAAAGAAGTGCATCATGGAAGTTAATACCATATCAGAAAAATATCTAAGTAATTCTTCGGGTGATTCCCTAGCGATTCTGAAGAATTAATTAAATTTTAAATACTACTAGTCACCTTATTCTGGGAAATCCATCTCCTGCTTGATTGTAAAATGTCTAGCAGGATTTTTGTGCTATATATAAACCATAATATTCATCATAGCACCCTTTAATTTATTACCACAAACTAAAATATTTAATTAAAATGACCAATTTTGTCCGCCACCATATTACTAAAAACATTTACAGTACTGGTCCAATGTCATGCCAAATGTACTCCTGACTCATTCATGTTTTCAGATTGCTCTAAGTAGCAAGGATCTGACTAAATCAGTCTTTAAATAATTGCTAACATTTCTCAACCATATTCTGATTTCTTAACATTGAACTGTAAACAAGAGAGATACATAAAGGATATTTTTAATCAGTGTCAGGTCACTCCTCAGATGCTGATTAAGCGTTGCCTTTATTTTCAAACAAACAAAAATACATCCCACAATGTGAGCTTACACAATATTACAATACTTTTAAAAAGTGAGAATTTCTTTGAAAGCTTTCCAATATTCTTAAGAGGAAAGCATCCTTATTTGGTCAGCTCCCACAGGAGGCGAAGAAAAAATAATCCAACTAGCATACTGCAAGAATTGCTCTTAACCCTCGTAACATGATTCCTATTGCACTCAATTTACTAAAGTAGCCAACATTGCTTGCTAGGGACATACATATTCACTTGTAGAAATCATTTTCTGGAAAGCTTAAGAAAAAAAGGCCTTGCATGATACTAGCTTTCAAAAACTATTACCTTTATTTGCTGGATAATGCATTGCAAGCCAAAGGGAAAAGGAGTAACCTTTTTAAAACAAATGCTTCATAAGGTTTAACATCAGTGCTTCTATGGCAGAGGTGGGCAATAATTTTCATGGAAGGGAGGTGGGGGGGGGGGGAGGGGGGGGGGGGGGGGAAGGGGGAGGAGAGAGGCACTTAATGTTTTGGTATGTGGTCATGAGCCAGCTCCACCCTCAGAAGGAGCAGGGCCTGGAGCAGAAGGAGTGGGCTGGGGACTAGCCTCCCCTCCCCCCAGAGTAGTCTGGGGCCAGAGGCTTTGAATTAAACACACAGCTAAGGACTTGTGGCTATGGCCTCACGGCTATCGGGTTGCTGTGGCTATTTAAAGGGCTCACAGGTCTGGCCCCTGCAACTGTGAGCCATTTAAATAGGATTCTGCTGCCAGAGCCAACCCCTACAAATACGGTGGCTCGGGCAGCAGGATATAAATAGAAAGCGGCAAGAACTGGGCTGGGCCAGATGCAGTATGCAGACCGGCTCCAGCCCCTGGGCCACATCTTGCCCAGCTCTGTTCTACAGTCTGTTATAAAAATGCCCTCTTTATCTAGGTTATAAAAATCTATTGTAGAAAACAGCATTAATAGTTACTTCAGATGCATTAAGGAGCAAAGTAACAGTGACCAATGTTTCCTATAAGCTGGGCACTTGTATGGCCACTCAGGAGAAATTCAAATGCCGCCCATCTGATTAGCAGAGCACCAGCAGCTAGGCTTTTTCTTTCTACTAGTGCTACACATTTGCAAATGCTCGGCACACAAAAAATTATTCTGCACGTGCATGAAAAAAATCTCCACATGGATGGAAAAAATTAGAGGAAACACTGACAGTGACCCCCATGTTGAACAAGACAACAAGTAAAAAGAAACCCTTAAGTCTCTCTCAGCTAAATAGATAGGTCAGGTCTCTGGGGCAGAATCTGGCCCATTTGTTACTTTTGCCTAGCATTTGTTTGCCTAGCATTTAACACAATGGGGCCTAACCCTTGATTAGACTTTCCAGGCACAACTATTGTAATGGATATAGTCCTTGGAAATTGGGGAAGAGGATCCTTCCTCTCAGTATACTATGAGCAGCTGAAATCCTGGGGAAGCCGGGAGGCAGCCCTTCAACATGCAGTTGGATTGGCTCCAAAATGGTGGATTGGAGGTTTAACATGTTCCCCTTTAACTTAATACCGCTAAGTAAAAATGAACTTCCTCTAAACACATACCCTGGAGCACCCCTTTTCCTTAAGGCTAGAGGGGAAAGAATGAGAACACCAGTTCTAGGCCTTACCAGTAAAACCACCTTGGATCCACACAGGACCTTAGCAAGAAAGGCTGTCTGTTGAGGACTTGAAATAAAGCCTCCAACATTCGCACATCAATGTCAGAAGGAAATCTATTTTTCCAACTGAACGGTGAATTGGGAGAACAGTTTTTGGTCATCCTTTTGAGATTTAATGACCAAATCAGTATGCCAAATAGCATCCTCACTGACTTTTCTGCTTAGAGTGAGTGGGCCCTGGTCAGTCAATGAAGCCAGACATCACACTGAGAGTGCCCTTCTTGAGGCAACTACTTGTCTCCTTGATGATTTGGATCCATGTTATTGGTTCTGCCACCAAGTTAAAGTACAGTGTGGATCTGGAAGTTAAGATACCCAACCCATAAGGAAACTTAGAAATTAATAACATATTACCACCACCAAAAGGCAAAGTAGTAAGAAAACTACAAGAAAAATAGTGGCTCATATTATGGAATCATTTTCACCTCCAACAGTAAGCACTTCTATCCTCCCAAAATCCACACTACTGGGACTTTCGGACTGCCAACAGTCAGTATCAAAATTCTTTAAGACCTGAGTGGGAAGACCTGGGCAGCAGAACGAATCAGAGATGCAACTTGGGAACACTTACCGTCTCTGTCATCAGCTACGTTTGGAGCAAGAAGGCACAAATGAACATTTGATGAGTAGCCTAGCAGTACTAATGAGACTAAAATGGTGGAACACAAATAGGTTGCATACTCATCTGGCCTGGTAACTCCTGCAATCAAGCAAGTCTCCTTATCTTTCCATTTTCTCCACCCCAAAGCAGAAGCCACAAAAAGAACTTGTACTGACCCACCCCGGCCAGTCATTTATGAGCAGGGGAGATCAACTTGATATGGCATAAGAAGTTAGAAGGAAATTTCCACCAGTTGCCAACACCACCATTTTTCATAATTAAAAGCTATCACCAAACAGAAGACAAGAAAACCTAAACCACTTACAAACATGCAAGCTCTGTGGGCTGCATGTCCTCATGTAACCAACATTACCTAGAGCTCCTTCAGAAACTAAGCTTTCATGTAAAAGAAAAATTAAGTTTCTAGCCCTTGTATTGGTGTAACAGCCCCTCTTCCTTTCTCATGTGAACCAATGTAGTAGTTTCTTCCTTAATTTGCCAACAGTGGCTCTAAGATCTCACTAGGATGTCAATGTAAATATTCATCAACCAATATAGATTCACCTACAGTAAAACTCCATTAGTCCGGCATCCAATGCTCCGGGATGGTC